TAATAATAATAATGCGGTAATTACAACTGATCAGACAAATAAAGGTATTCGATCGAAAGAGATTCCAGTAGCTCGTATGTTAATTACAGTTGTAATAAAATTTACAGCTCCTAAAATCGAGGAAATTCCTGCTAAATGCAAAGAAAAAATAGCTAAATCAACTGAAGCACCTCCATGGGCAATAATAGATGAGAGTGGGGGGTAAACAGTTCAACCAGTCCCGGCTCCGTTTTCAACTATTCTTCTCATCAAAAGAAGAGATAAAGCAGGAGGTAATAATCAGAATCTTATATTATTTATTCGGGGGAATGCTATATCTGGGGCTCCTAATATTAATGGGACTAATCAGTTACCAAAACCTCCAATTATAATAGGTATTACTATAAAGAAAATTATAATAAAAGCATGAGCTGTAACAATTACATTATAAATTTGATCATCCCCAATTAGGGCTCCTGGGTGACCTAATTCAGCTCGTACTAAAATTCTTAGAGAAGTACCAATTATTCCTGATCATGTACCAAAAATGAAATATAATGTTCCAATATCTTTACGATTTGTGGAGAATAATCATTGTCGCGATTAAATGGCTGAAGTTTAGGCAATAAATTGTAAATTTATTAATAAGGTAATCCTTTTTAATCAAGCTTTATAGTCAAAAATGATATTAGACTGCAATTCTAAAGGAGTAGAAATACTAAAGCTTACAAGATTATTCTTATATTGATAACTTTGAAGGTTATTAGTTTTTTTAACTTAAAACTTTAGTTAAAAACTAATAATTTAATAAAAGAAAAAAATTGAGCAAATTACAATAAATCCTATTGAAGAAAAAAATGAACATAATAATATAATTTTTATATTTAAATTTATAAAAAGAGTTTTATTATTTCAGTTATTTTCAAAGTGATTTAATATAAAAGCTCTATAAGATAATCGTAAATAAAAATATAAAGTAATTAATGTTGATATTATTAGAATAAATAATAACAGTAATTGGTTATTTATAATTAATATTTGAATTACTATTCATTTTGGGAAAAATCCTAAGAAGGGAGGAAGACCTCCTAACGAGAGTAGATTTAAAAATAAAACAAATTTTATAGTTTTTGAGTTTATAAATAAAGAAAATAACTGATTTATATGAGAAACTTTAAAAGTGTTGAAAATAAAAATTAAAGCGAAAGAAAAAAAAGTATATAATAAAAAGTATACTAATCAAAGTAAATTATTTATAAATATTGAAGAAATTATTCATCCTAGGTGATTAATGGAAGAATAAGCCAGTAATTTTCGTAAGGATGTTTGATTTAAACCTCCAATAGCCCCAATTAAAGCTGAAAGGATTATTCTAACAATTAGAAAATTAGATAATGAATAAGAGATTAACATTAAAGGTGCTAATTTTTGTCAAGTTAATAAAATTAAAGAATTTATTCATGATAATCCTTCTATTACAGTTGGAAATCAAAAATGAAATGGGGCTGAGCCTCTTTTTAGAAGTAAAGTAGATGAAATTATTATTTCATTTAATCTACTAATTTTTCTAAAATTAATATAAATTAAAATAATAGAAAATAAAAGAATAGACGAAGCTAAAGCTTGAGTTAAAAAATATTTTAAAGAAGCTTCAGTTGAAAGTAATTTATTATCTCTTATGAGGGGGATAAAAGATAATAAATTAATTTCTAATCCTATTCATGCCCCTAATCAAGAATTAGAGGAAATTGTAATTATTGATCCTAAAAATAAGATAAATAAAAATAAAATTTTTGATGAATTATTAAAAATTAAAGAGAAAAGGATTAAAACCTTTATAAATGGGGTATGAACCCAGTAGCTTTATTAGCTTATCTTTTTATATTTTAGTGTAAGATGCACAAAAGTTTTTGATACTTTTAGAAATAGTTTAATTCTATTAAATATAATAATGAATGTAAATTTTACATAATTTACCCTATCAAGGTAACCCTTTTATCAGGCAATTCATTAAATTTATTAGTAACAAACTTGTACGCTCTGTTCGCGAAATATGTGCATCCTGTGTATCTTAATGTGATATGTTTAATAGTTCCTGCTGTTCGACATTCATCTGTATACCGTTTTGCACTTAGTTTTTGCGTATATCACTTTATCCTGTACAGCAGTTAGAAATCCTTTTTTTTCCTAAAATGAATAGCCATTAAATAACCGCCGGATCGAAGCTTTATTGTCAATGTGATTTTGGCTCAACACGTGTGGGTGTTTGCCACCTAATGTCTTGGCCACCCGTTGGTTAATTTTTTTGTTATTGCTTGCTCTTTTTTTATTAATCTTTGCGGTCTCGCTCAACATCAGTGATCCTTTTAAATCTGCTTGGCTTATGAATTTAGCCTCTTTGTAATGGAACTTTGAGTGCCATTATATGTTATTGTGTAAGATTTCTAATTCTAATGCTGAGTTGGGATCTGTTCTCAATTTTATCGTACATGATCTGACATCTCTTTGAAAGAGTTCAATATCAATATTTGTTCTGTTAATTATTCCAGAGGATTAGTAGTAGTAACAATGGGAGAGTTTTAGTATTGATTGGTTTTATCATATTTCTCGCATTTAATCAAATCAGCTTTTCTAGTCTTTGAATGTATTCTTTTCTTAATTTTTATAAGGATTGTATGGCTTACAGGCTTCGCTTGTTCTTTGCCAAGATATTTAAGCATGGTTTCGCTTTTCGGCTGCCTTGATATAGCGTATTATATTATTAATGTAAATAAATAACCGCGTATGCTATTTCATGAAAGAAGATCGAATATCGCTACAGAGAATTGGTGTGAGACGGAGAATGGCTCTGCGGAATGGTTCCAACACTACCTAAAAGTGTGTAAGTTTTTTGGATTTATTTATGATACATAGATGAGCTTATTGTCTGTGTATCTCTGCAAAACTTCAAATATGTATTACAACCAATTGAATCCAGCGATGCTTTAAGAAGTGCTGGTGATAGTTTCTTTTTAAATAAACTAAATAATATGGATAAATTTTTATTATTTCTATTTCGTTAATTAAAGTATTTCATAATTGAAATAAATATGTGCATATATTAAATGTAAAAACACATTACCTTCTTGGCCTTTATTGCCAGCTACATCCAATAAATAGAAAATAAATGTTGAACTTCCTAAGTAATAAATGACATACGCGTACTTGCGCTCCTTAGCTGTATTCGGCATATCTTCGAAGAATGGTACACCTATTGTACTAAGGCTTCTAAACACATGAAAAACATTTAAAAACAAACAAAGAAGTACACATTAAAATTTTACTCTCCGCTACTCTACTGATGGAGCAAAACACACGATTTGATCGCAGCGGCAAATTCAGTGACCCTTTAACTCCGTCGACGTTGCCTTCAAATTTGCTAGCTCTGCAACTTTCTCCTCCTTGTCAGTCAATTCTACTCCTTCCTTCGGTCTTCCTCTAAGCTGTTTCAAAGACTTTTTGCTATGGTTCGTCTTCTTCTTTGTTCGATACTTGTGGTCCGCCCAAATCTAAAACGAAAATAAAATAAATCAAAATGATACATTGGAATGGAAATTGTAATTAATTTACTTTTCGCCAGCATCCCGTTATTTTGAATTCAATTTACAGTCTACTTTATTCCACAGTTCATGGCCTTGAGCACAGCTTTGGTTATAGCTTTGCGCCACTTCGAGATGGGCCGTCTTGAACTACATCAATTCACTGAATTGTTCCTTGAAAGCTGACCTGCAATCGCAGCCATCAAATATTAAATTTAAAACTGTTAATATGCAATTAAGTGCATAATTTGGTAGGAGAATCGTTATCAGCATTGCAGCAGCAAAATAAACGAATGCGAACACGTAGATCTGTGGTTTTAAGGAATAATATAATTGTTAATTTCTTCAGTTTAAAAATTGCACTTAAAACTTCTTATAATTAATTGATCATTCTTTTTTTTTCGGTTGTTGAGTGAAGATGGACTAAACCAATAAATTTGTGCCTTATATATAAGGATATATCCAGATAATAAACAATGTTAATTACTGGCAAGAATTATATATAAAACACAACAAAAAAAACGGCGACAATAGCCAGTGCCGAAAGTTAAGAGTAATTATGTGCATGTGTAATTACATTGTTGAGTTGTTCAAAGTTATGCAAAAAAAATAAGAGTGTTGCAAACTTTGGCTGAAAACAAAAAGGGAATGTCATAGCAACAGAAAATGATTGAACGCAAAAAATAAATTAATATGATAAATTCGCTTTTCTAATAAAGCAAGTTAGTCCCCCAAGATGACATAAAGTTTTTGCTAGAGATCGAGGAAACCATCATATAACTTGAAAAAGCTAAACAAACCTCTAACACCATCAAGCCTGTGACATCTAAAAATTAGCCGTTGTTGTAATAAAGAAGAATCTTTTCTTGGCATAAGATCCTCATACATGAGAAATTCACATTTTGCTTTGAGGTAGAGATCAATTCAAGAATGTTCGTGGAGATTCTGCATTTATTGGTGAAAAAATTCCAGAGAGGAATTGAATTTATCTTGCCAAAAATGTGACGCAGTTTTTGATAACATAATGCATAGCTACACGGGACCGTATCACTGAGTGATATAACTTTCTGAAAAGGGGAAGGATTCATTATCTTGACTTTAATCAGCTTCTTGGCAGTGCAAAGAAGGGCTTTTTAGGAAACGGGCTATTCACCAGAGATGGCATTGAAAATATGGTGAGAAGTTGAGAGGGTCAGTCCAATACAACGTCTTAACATTCGATTTTCAAATGTTTGTATACGTTTCTCAATATATTTTGGGAAATTGCAACATGTAGAATGTGCAATTTCAATTTTAGACCTGGCTAAAACTTTGTATGCAGTCAAAGCTTTTTTGGGAAGCAAGAGACTTGATACAAGCAATATCTAGCATGGAAATCTCCGGCCAAAAAGTCACATAATCTCTGAATCTCATCACGAAAAGTTTGTATATCTACTTTAAGTGGAAAGTGGCATGATGCTATGAAAATATTCGGGTTAAGATTCAAGGGATTGATGATAGTGCAGCAAAATTGTAGGGAATTCATCTGAAATTGACGCCTTTCTTGGCTACTATACTAACACCACCATAGCCACTATCTCGGCATTTGGTAGTTGAAACATAATTGGAAACTTTAACTTCAAAAAAATTGTAGTCCTTCAGAAAAACTTCATTTAAGATGCAGAAATCAATATTATTCGAGTTCAAGTAAAAATCCAAAAACGATAAGTTACGTTTAAATTAAAAGAAACCGCAGCGGATTTCCTTGCAGTACTGGATGCTTGATTGTAGCGAGCAAAAAGATACATTTTTTCGCCGAATTCCTTAACAAAATTCTGAGGGGTAATCGGACGGATACATTCTTTAATCGCAGAGATAACTCTATCAAATTTCAAGGAACGCAAATTGTTGTTCGAAATTATTGGCCGCCGAGGTCTTGTTAGAAACGGCTTGGGGCGTGAATTGAGAGAAGGTTTGGTGGGTGAACTGGGAGAAAGTTTGGAAATAACAGATGTTCTTTTAACAACCGCATTAAATTTTTTCTGTGTTAAAATCTTATTTGCGTTTTCGTTATCATCCTTGCTAGAAATGGTAGGCGAGTTTCCGAATGGAAGGGAATTTTCGTCGGAGGAGCTGTCATCTAGACATTCAAAGTAATTTACTTTTACTTCTTTGTAGGAAAGAGATTTTCTTAATATGCCCTGTTCAGGCAACTTATTTAGAGTATTGTGCTCACCTGAACCACAGGACAAGCATCTCGTTGTTGCACACATTTCACACTTTGAAGACTTCTCGCAGTTTAAGCACCTTTCCTCCTTCGCTTTGCAGAACTTTTACACATTGCTATATCTGCTGCACTTAAAGCATTACCTTAAGGTGGTTACAAAGTACTCCATGGGCAAATTACAAAAATTAAATTTAATTACTTTGGGGAGGGCTTTCCCCTTGAAACTTATTTTGATGCTAGTGGTTGGAATGAACTCTTCTTCGCTGTTAGGAATTCTTCTACGAAACCTAACACCAGACTTGATAGGAACGTCAGAGACCGTTTTTTTTATGATATCGTTTTTACTGTACTCGACGGGGACATTCCGAATTACTCCGAATCTTTCGGTGAAAGCTCTCGGAATATATGCTCAGAAGTTCTTTTTTTTGAAGTCATTGTCTTTAACGAAGCAGTTAGCATAAAGGGCAGATCTGAAAAGCAATTTAGCTCTGCCACTGCTAACTACTTTTAATTCTAATAACCCATCGATGTTAAAGGTTTTTAGGTAATCATAAAAAAAGGTCAGAGCTATTATTTACACTTTTCACATTTTCAACGCATTTTCACACGTTTCAACGAAAACTACAAAACTGCTTTGTGCAAGATAATCATATAAATTGATATCAAGCCTTGCTATCTCTTTGACTCCTAAATCAGTAAGCTTATTAAATACAGAGCACTGTCATATCTTTGGCTATAACTCCCCCTTTGGGAGCTAGACTAATAACATCATCACCCATCCTCGATCTCTAGTTATGCTCGTTCGTATAGAAATCCTCGAAATTGTCTCTATTCGTGACAATTAATTCAGAGCCTGTCTCCATAGGGATGTTGTTGTGTTGTTTATCTCAGGGAACACCAATCCGGACGAAAAACGGAAAAAGAAAGGTTAGTATATATATTTTTTATTTTTTTTAATTTTCAAAAGTTTCGTTTCTTTTTTAAAAATTTATTTATTTTTGTTTTTTTTCCACAAACATCGACAAAACACGAGGAAAGAAAAAAATTGTCCAGCTGCCGTTTGCCGAAAGTCAAATGACGTGTGTTTTGTTCAAATATGTGCAAAACAATGAATTGATAATTTTTGGACATTCTTTTTTTTCCAATTTAATTAATAGTTACTTTATCCGCTTGTTTATCAGGAAAGCCCACCAGCTGTTATACTTCGGATTTTGACAACCATAATTAAATATAAAGAAAAATTTGCTTAGAATGTCTCCTCGGCTCACTGTATTTTTATTGAGTTTGTAAAGATAATAAACGTTGCGCTCAGTACAAAAACGTAATGTTTCTCATTTTTCCATTACAAGATACAAAACACTTAAAATTTTTGTTATCTATCTTGTACTTTAGCATTCGCTCGGCAACTCTGCATGAAATAAGACGCTTTCTTGCAGAAAATTCTTGAAAAATAAATTTTTTTTTTCAACAAAAAAAAGAAAAAAAATTCTTCTTTTTTTTTTTGTTTCTGAAAACTCTTGAAGTAGTGAAAATATATATAGTGAAGTTGCGGCATTTAAACAAAATCAACAAAGGCTTCGACGTCCTTGTGCTTCTCCGCAAATTGCGCAGCACCTGCTGTCTTCAACCTCATCCTGACAAGACTCACTTCGTCAACTCACCTGTACATTGGACATCAAGTAGCGGCGATTCCTGTCAAATTCTTAAAACTGCTTTAACTTACAAGGCTTTGTTCTTCTTTGTCTCTGTCGGTTCCACCAAAAACGGCTGATTTCCATATCCATTCTTTTCTCGGTAAGTCAGTTGATCCTTTTCTCTTGCCTTTAATCTAGCACGAAACCTAAAAGTCGCCCGCCCCTCAAGGGGGTGAGGCTCTCAAACATGTTATCAAACGATGATGATTTCGAAAATTTTGTTCGAATCACGCATAGCAAGGGTTCACTTAAAAGAAGAATCACAGCCCAGAACGAAGGTCTCAAAAAGATCATCTCTGATAAGAACAATTCATCTGTAAAAGACTTGACTGAGGATGTCAATATCACCTCCTTAAAGTCCCCGATCGCTCCCTCTATGAATAAGCCTCCCAATAAAGACAGCTCGGTGAACAGTAACAATAATAGTAGTCCCATAAAAGGAAAGAGCTCTGACCCATCTAGTCCAAATCGTTATAGTGACGACACGACCGGTGAGTGCTACGTATTCATTAAAGTATGCAACAATAACCTAGAGAAACCTTTTCGCCTTAACTCAGATTTATTTTTTTTTCGAACACATCAAAGATCTCAAATTGGATGGTTTGATTAATATCAAAACCATCAGCAATGGCAAAGCCAAACTTGGTTTTGCTACTGCGGTTGATGCCAACAACTTTTTAATAAACAATGATTTTGGTCCAAAGTCTTGCAAGGCCTACATCCCTAGAATTTTCACAGAAAAATTTGGGATCGTAAAAAACATTCCACCTTCAATTAAGGAAGAGGACTTTCTCAACTCAGCTACCTCTGATATTGAAATCATTTCTGTTACAAGAATCCTCAGAAGAGACCCTGCAGACAGAGAAATGTTCATCCCAACAAACAGCCTAAAAATTGGTTTCCAGTTGACTACTTCATTCCTTCCGTCAGGCTCTGCTATAATTGCGGCCGATTTGGTCACATCGCCAAATTCTGCAAAAGTAAGGAAAGCAGATGCCTGAACTGTGGCAAGTCACCGGCCTGTCCTACGGACTCATGCCTCTCAATCAAATGTCTAGGTTGCGGGTCGCTGGACCACAACGTAACATTTCGAGAGTGTCCAAAAAGAAAGAAAGAGGAAAATTTAAAAAAAATTTTAACCATCCAGAATTTATCTTTTAGAGAATACAAAGAGAAATTCTCTAACAACCCATACAATTTACTTCAAAACTATGACGTAAACTTCCCAGCAATGAAGGACAGCAATGCTCCTAACAATATCAGAGACCCTACTATTGATACAAATAATATTTTAATTAACAAAAACTTCAATGCAGTTTTAAAAAATAAAACAAGTATTCCCAAGTCCTTGCACAGAATGTCTCTCAAGACGCCCTCGACTCACAGTAACAAGTCGCAGGAGCCAAAAAAACCTACCCCGCCCCCTGAAAAGCATACTTTCATCAATAACCATAAATCCACTGAAATGGAGATAATTCTGGAAAAGATTTTCAGGATTCTCTCCATCTCTTCTCAAGAAGACATGCTTAAAACCATCCAAACAGAAATAAGTTCCCTTAAATCAAAATTTGATCTTTTAAAACAAGGTACATCTGGGTCGGCCCTATCATGTTCTAACATTTCTCATGACGTCCTTCCTACAGTATAACATACAAAGCTTCAGGCGTAATGCCCATTCTCTTGATTTTTTCATAAATTCCAACCGTACTGATTTCGCCATCTTGAGTGAAATCTTTCTGTCCGATGAAAAAATTTCCGATCTCAAAATCTCAAATTACAACTCCGCTTATAAATGTAGAAGTGACGGCTTTGGAGGTGTTGCCATCCTTGCCAGAAAAGGCATATCCTTCAAACAAATCCCATTTAAATCGACTGCTGACATAGTCATTATCAAAACCTCTTGTCTAAAACCTAATATCGTCATTGCTGCTTGCTATTTCAAGCCCAACATCCCCATTCAATCTTTCCGGGATGACTTTAATCGTCTCTGTGATATGCTCAATAGTTTCCACAATGTCATAATTGCAGGAGATTTCAATGCAAGACACCCTTGCTTTGGTGACTCCGTGTCAAACAATAAAGGCAAAGCCTTGCAAGAAATCATTAAAGCTAGTAACTTCTATTGTCTGAATGATAATTCACCAACCTATTTTCACTCTACGACCAACAATTGTGGTAGCGTGTTGGATCTTACTTTCACTAACGCAACTCATCTCACATTCAAACGGGAGGTTAAAAAAGAAATTTTCCTGGGAAACAGCCACCACCTTCCTATTCTCTTTAATGCCACCTCTATTACCTCGTACAAGATAAATGACTTTATCTCGAGGAAAAAACTCCTAAATAATCTTATTCACGTATGTCTTGAGCCACAGGTCGAATCTATCCAGTGCTCATTTCAACAAGAAATAATTAACGCCAAATCCGACATCCAAATCTCGAATTCCTACTCACCAAAACCTTGGTGGAACGAGCTGCTCACTTCACAATTCCGTAGATTACAAGCTGCTAAACAAAAATTTTCCAAATACCCCAATATTTCTAATTTTGAAGATTTCAAGTTATCACAAAAAGAATGGAAGAAATCGACTAGAAAAGCCAAAAGATTCCATCGAGCCCTCGTTATCGAAGAACTATGCTCAAATAGCAATACAAAGCCATTCTGGAAATTTTTAAATGGTCATCGCACCACAAAAAAGAAATACAAGCACCCCATTTGGGATGATCTCAACAACAAATCCTACCTTGAATGGCTGAAAGCTCAAGTTCCCTCGACATGTGGTCTCCAAACCTCCTTACTTAACTCTCGGATGGAAAACATCTCTCCATTCTCCCTTGATGAACTCATGCACGTCCTTAAGTCGAAAAAGAAGTCCACAGCAGCAGGCCATGACGGAATCAAATATGAAATGATAAAGGTCCTTCCCATGCCAAGCCTTCTAACCCTGCTATCTGCTATAAATGAGCGCTGGATGACCAACTCGTTTCCCACCGTTTGGCGTACAATTAAAATAGTGCCCATTCCTAAACCCGGAAAAGATCTTGAAATATTCACCAACTTCAGACCCATATCCCTCTTGCCTGTTCTTCTAAAAATTACCAGCCAAATGATTAAAGAAAGACTAACAAAATTCCTGAATCACTCACACCTTCTCCCGTCAAGGTCCTTTGCTTAAATAAAAAAATATCTCCACCGGTATGTGCCTTAATGAAGTCCTTTTCACAATTGCAAATGAAAAAGCAAATGGGAACCAGGTAGTCATGCTTTGCTTAGACATTAATAAAGCTTACGACTGTGTAAACTTAGCGAAACTGGAGCAAATTCTATCTGATTTTAAAATCCCGACACAAAATAGGCATTGGGTTCTCAACTTTCTTTCCTCGAGAACTCTCGTATTAGATTCACATACAGTCGAAGTTTGTGGAGGCTTACCTCAAGGTAGCTGTCTCAGCCCAGTTCTCTTCAATTTATACACAGCCGGTTTACATCAATTACAGGACAATTCTACCCATTTATTTCAATATGCTGACGATTTCCTCATCATCTCTGCTGGAAAATCATTAATGGAAGCAGTCCGTAACCTCGACACTAAAGCCAATCTTTTTCACAAACTTTGTGCAGACTTAAATCTAACTTTCAACCCGGAAAAATCAAAAGTCGTTCGCTTTGCTAAGGGTCCCAAAAAAATTTTTTACATTACAATCAATGGTATAAAAATCAGTCCGTCTTCCTCTTTTAAATTTTTGGGCAGAATAATCAACTCAAGTTTAACCACGCATGAGCATTACAAGGATAGCCTCGAAAATTGCAACACAGGCTCAAATGTCATCAAACTTCTGACCAACATTCACACCGGACTCCCACCTAGGAAAGCATTAAACGTTTACAAATCTATTGTTAGATCCAAAACTGAATATCCCTACTCTACATCGTGTAACGCTCCTGCGTATACATTAAAAAAAATACAAACCTTTCAACACTCAATCCTAAGACGTTGTACCGGTCTGTCCCCCTCAACACCAACATCAATTTTACGTTCCATCTCTTATGAACTCCCCGTTGCTAAGAGAATTTATCTTGTAACTGCAAAAGAGCTTCTCAAGGTAAAAATCTTCAAACCTGCCTTCTTTGACGAGGTCGCTTCCAAACACAATCATGTCATCAGTAGTTACTCTAACTGCTTCAAAAAATTCAGTAACATCTTCAATAAAGTTAACTCAATACCCTCCTGGAATAATATTATTCATGATAAATGCGTAGTTGAATTAAACTTACTTAATTCAATCACCAACTCAAAAAAAAATCGATCAGGGTCTTGTCTTCGAATCGCTTGTCTGCAAAAACTTAACCACTTCGTCGAAAATAACTTCAAAATATACGCAACGGATGGATCTATCAATTCGGACATCTCTAGTTTTTCAATTATTGAATACCCAAACTTACTTATAGGAAAATTTAAAGTTCTACAAGAACTATCATCCACTTTCATTGAACTTCTGGCCATCAGACAAGCAATCATCCACGCATCTGATATTAAGCTGAAAAAATTTGTAGTTTTCTCTGACAGCAAATCTGCTCTAATTTTAATCAAGAACAAAGACCCATTCAATAAGTATGTCTTCGATATCTACAACCTTTTAAAAGACACAAGTATTGAAAAATGCCACATCATCTGGATCCCAGGTCACTGCGGTTTTAGTATCAATGAAAAAGCTGACTTCCATGCTCGTCAAGCTAGGTTCGATGGTACAGTTTTGTCCATAAACTACCCCCCCAGCGAAGCTTTTCTGCTAGTCAAAAAACTTATCATAAAAGAATGGAAAGATGAGTATCATGTTGTAGCTAGAGAAAAAAGTGACCGGCTGTTCTACAAAATTTACCCTTTTTTGACACCCACGCTTCTACCTAAAGGAAAATTCACAACATGGGAATTTAAAGTTCTTCACAGTCTTATGAGTAATCACACCTACGACAAGGTCTATTTTAAAATGATCAAAGTCTCCTCCTCTGACATCTGTGAGGATTGCAATATTACTGAGTCTGCCGAGCACCTTATTTTTGATTGCAGGAGGTTTGACATCCTTAGACAATCTTTCAGTATATTTAACCTGTATAACAATCTATATGAAATTTTTCGTGCTGGTAACTTTAGGCATTTGAAGCAACTGACTGCCTTTATCAAATCAGCTGAGTTTTCATTCTAATTTTACATTTAGTATTTCTATTACAATCACGAATCGCCTACACTTTTTCTTTTATCGGCATTATTAGCCGGATCTTGACAGTACAGTAACAAGGACGGTGATTTATGGATTGACAGCGGAACAGAGCCTCTCATTGCGAACACTCTGCCACATCAGTCTACCTATGCTTAAATTTTTTCATCAATCGCTCTCAACTTCGTTTCTGGATTATGGATCTAACATTAACTTAACTGGTCCAATCCATCTCTAAACAAACAAAAAAAAAAAAAAATATATATATATATATATCTCGTACTTTAGCACGATTTTAATCAACCGATCATGTGTTAAATACAATGTTTCTTTGTTATCTGTATTCCAATATAATAAGATATATGACCGTATGCTATGGCCAGGTAACGGACTGCTGTTTATAAAATTATGAAAAACTGCTACTAGTTGTCTTTAGTACGCAGAGAACGCAAAGATTTTTTCCGCTATAAACAATAAATTATTCAAATAAGCCAGCGTCAAGATGCTACGGCTTTTGTTGCGATGCCAACTAATCGATAGAAAGATGGTCAAACAATGATAACTTTATTTGAAATTTCTCCTTTTTTATTCAAATTTTTCTTATTCTAGCGAAAATTTGTTTCTAATTTCAATTGCTTACACTAAATCAGAGCATTAGTAAGATAACACTGTCGAATGTGCCTTTGCATTTCAATTGAAGAATTTTGTTGATTTTCCAATTTCAATATCTCGTTTGTTTATGATCCGTACGATTGAATTTGTACACCATATATATGTTGTAGGCGCGATTAAAAATTATACAATATGTTATGATTTGTTCTTTTGAATCAGATTCTTTTTGCATAGTTATTATGTTATATATCGCAATCGTTCCTTTAAGGAGGAGATTAAACTTAAACTGAGCCTAGTACTTTGCACTTTTACAATTTTTTAATGCAGTTTTGAGATTATTTTCACTTCTACAATATTCATTCGTATGAATAATGACTTATATTCTGTGATTTTTTGCTTCGCTACACAACCCTGTGATTATAACCTTTAGGTAAGGACATTAATTGCCTTCAAAATTGTTGCAAACTCATCCTTATTAGAAGAGACATTACAACTTTCTCTTGGATCTTTAACGTTTAGTTTTCAATAAATATTTCTCATTTGTAGTAAAAGATTAGTTTTCTTTTTTTCTGTTCACATTTCTTATACTTCCGTAATCTACTCGCTAAGTTTGATAGTTTTGATGTCAAAGTGTTTATGGCATCGTTATGGGTGAAGTTAATTGCATTAACTTTTTTGTGAACTTTTTGGATTAAGATTACTTCTCAATTTGTCTGTTGTACCAATTCTCCTTATGTACTGTACAAGTTCTTCTATATTTTCGACTTCATTATGCTTTTGTTCAATATTTTGAGGATGTGTTGCAGTTGAAAGAAGTTATCGGTTTTCGGTATTTTCGGCCTAAGTGTTGGATTCATTCCTCTGTAGGTTAGTATTGTTAGCATTAATGTTTTGATTAATTTTTAGTATAATACATTTTCTTTTACGAGCTCCGTATAATTTTCTTTACCTGTATTATGTATATTCAGGTCGATTGGTTGTACATGAGATTGAGTTGTGGTCGTGGTTATATCAACGATTTCATAACCATTTCCACTGCTAGTTGCGTCTTCTATTTGAGTATTTTCACTCTGTATCATATAACCAATTACACGTATTTCTTCTTTAATTCATCCTATACGTGCTGTTGGGGCAAGATTTCTTCTTAAAATTACTCGACATTGATCCGACAATCTTTGTTCTGTTAATGTATATAGGTCAGCATGTTTTTTAATATATTGTTATTTAATTGAATTGAAAATAAAATGTTTCGTTATATAAATAAAAGCCAACTTTTTAATTTGTAGAAAATAGCTAAAAGCGGATTTATTGTTTATATCTACTATTTCAATAAAATTTCAATTCAATTGTAATGTGCATCCCGATTTTTATTGTCTGTAGCGAAACGCGGTATCGTCACCAGAAGTTAAATCCGAATCAGCGTATTTTGCAACGCGTAGTGCACGCAAATATTATGAAAGACTGCGCAAACATTGCGAATTTTCCCATCTTTCTTGAGTCGAACAAGAAATTAACCCCAGGAATATCAAACTCCCTAGAAAAACATTGCTTTGTGCTGGCAATAACAACCAATACTCACTCTGAAAAATTAGCACTAATGTAAAACGTGAGCGATTTAGCTTACGCCAAATTTGACAGCTTTGAGAGAACGTTTTTCATGCATTAATTCAAAAAGTTGATTTGTTTCACATTAATTTTACTATTCCTATTATCACTAATTCGAGGACAATAGACTTAAAGCGCAAGCAAATGAGACTATCGGCTTCATTGAAAGCTCTGACGCACTTGAGATTTAAACTCATGAGCATTGACTTGTTTGTCGAGAGCGCCTATATAAGTGACTACTTAAACAGATACTATTCTACTTTTTCCCGTTTCTTACTTAACTCATAAAAAAATTTACTGACTTTTTTGAATAAGGTTACCATATCAAAGCGGACAAACACTATTTTTGGCCTTAAAACACAATTCGTTTAAACACATTGGTGTGTCATTCCGTTTTTCTGGCTTAGTTTCCTGCTAGTCAAAATGAGAGACTGTCTACCAGATTATTTTATAGAAAAAATAAAGAAATCTATGCAAAGATAAGAAAAAACGTATGGTTTTAGTAGGAACAATGTACTAAGCAAACTAAATAAAGAAATTCAACACACTTAATTCTCTTACTTATACGAATTGTTTTGTTTTAACTTGATTTTCAATATTTTATGGATTTTTTATGATGATGAATTTTTTTTTATGTTTTAAATATTTTCATGAATTTTTCATTCTTACAATTATGCATTCTAATTCGCGTTATATTTTTTACAATTCGGTTAGAGTATGTTAATTATATTCATATATGCGTTGGATTTCCCTAAATATGCATTAAGTAAAGACGTAACATATTTTTTATGCAATTTAGTTTATATTTTTCAAATTATAATTTATTTTTTATAATATTTGTAATGGATTAAAATGTGTAAGCGCAAATAAATTCTTAAATACACTCTAACAAGAATATTTTAATATTGCTTATTGTATTTTTCAGTTGCTGTTTTAGGTCTGGAAACAATCTACTATTTTTCCTTTTAGCCATTATCTTTATATACGCATATATATATATGCATACATAATAAATATATGGATCCTAATAAACTATTTTTCACTCTGATAAAACAATTTCATCAAAATATTGGTTGTTTTTTATATATTACAAAATAGTGCATGGTGTAATCTGTTCGCATTTCTCGAATATCAGAATTTTTCTCACGCTCCTGCAAGAAAGGATTTAAAGGTTCACATATGGATTTTGATATATTACATACTTACATGGTGATATCATACAGCATCTGTCTCTCTCATTTAAAATAGGCTTTTCAACTGTACGCAAAATTGTTAACGAAATTATATGACACAACTTAGCAGCTACAAAGGCAAGAGTTTGTGTTAAGAAAAACAAATGACTTTTATAGAATTTTTTTAGTCATTACTGTATTGAGGAGAATCTGCGATGCAAATCACATTTTTACGGCCTTACGAAGCTTAATGTTCCCGAAAGAATGGAAGGATTGTGATGAATTCGTCGTTTGATCGACGGCTGTTTAGTAACAAATTAGGTATATCATAACCATCCACTATACCGAACTCAAATTCACTGTGTCCATACTTTTTTTGTGGGTAGTGCAGCTTTTCCAATACATACTGATTTATTACGACCGTAGCTTGAAGGGCTGTCACATAATACATACTATAAGTCAAAATTAAAATACATAGAATATAAAAAAATTAACAAAATATATTTAAGTTAGATAAATAATTCGTAAGTTTAAAAGAAACGACCATCATATCTTTTTCTACGTTTTCCCTTTTCTTTTATTTATGTATAGGTGCAAATGACGTCTCGAAAAAGTGGGCATAGTTGAAGTCTTATCCCGAAAATAGGAATAACGCATCATTGTGTAGCGCTTAATTATGCCGACGACTTAATTGCTTAATTGTGAGTATGAGTGAAGCTTCATTGTGTTCTCCACAGTCTTTGCTAATATTTCACACAATTTTATATAGCAGCGGTGCTGGAGAACGGTGTTTTTAGGACATCCATATTTTTTTCGTGAAGAATTGTGCTATGTTGAAAACTTCACAGATTTCCTCCTTGAATAGTGTATGTTAAATAAAAGAATAAGTAATTTACATTTCAATAAAAACTCTATTTATTTGCAGTACTGAAATCGCAAACCTTGTTAAACAATTGCCAAGTATTTCTTTGTCGTTTAATTTTGTGTAAGACAATACGCAACTAAAATTTCTACATAAATTAGTGTGCATTTAATTTGCTTCGGCCAATAATGTCAACAAAGAAAACAAACGTAAGTATGTATTAAAAATTGTTGTCAAAGTACTCTTTTTGTTATTAAACAATTTGGACCGGGCGTTTGACTAGCATGGCGCTGAAGCTTTTCTTATTTAAAAACGCCTATAATGAGTCTCATTAAATTTGGAGTTTTTTCGCTCGATAAAAAACTAAACAAAAAGTAAACGTTTGTTAAACCTAACCCATTGTCCAAACATAAAAGTGTTTATTTTATACTACTAGCGAATGTATATTAAAATATAAAAAGAAAACAAACGACATTATTTCAATAGACAAGTAAATTAAATGCCTCTTGAATTAAGCGGGACTGAGCCTTGAGGTCGCTGTCTTGGTGGAATTTGAATGTTTCCAAAATATCAAGTTTGTCGGCAGTTTCTTCCAAATTTTCCGCCAATATCTTTAAATAGCTCTCGTTGTTTAACTTGCGATTACATTCTTGTACCAACAGCGCGCATTACAATGGTCATGGTATAGTTTGGATATGGATTGCACCAAAGGGAGTCGGAAACTGGGTGATTATGGATGGCATTCTAAACAAGGAAGGTTATTTGAGGATATTGAAGGAAACTCTAAAAGAAAGTGTGGGGAAACTTGATATTTTGGAAATCCTCAAATTCTACCAAGACGACGATCACAAGTCTAAATCTTGCTTAATTTAAAAATGGCTCTTATATAGCTGCTCCAAAGTGCTCCATTCTCTTCCCCAATCACCAAGCATGGATCCCATTTGTGTGATGAATCGGACCGCCATGTGCGAAAATACTCAATCTCCTCCGCCTAAGACTTGGAAAACAGACTATAAGAGGAATGGAGTAAGATTCCTGTTTCCTACACAAGAAAAATTATACAAACTAAGTCCAAGCGTTTAAATGACGTTATCAACCAAAAAGGACCCATCAAATATTAATTTTTAATAATGTACTGCTTTTTATTTTTGTATCCCTGCTTATATGGGAAAAACCAATATTAACGACGCTATGTTTTGAGTTGTTCAAGGCATTTAATTTACTTGCCTACTGGAATATTTTCTTTGCTTTCTCTTTATATGTTATTATATATTCCTCGCAGTACAAAATATTAAAAAAAATTTTTGTGTTTGGACGATGAACTAGGTTTAGCAAACGTTTACTTTTTGTCGAAGGAAAAACCTAATATTAATGAGACTCCCTGTAATTAGAGAGGCTTACAAATCATAGCAGCATAGTACGTTCATTTGTTTAATACCTAACGAAATAAAATATAAACATAATCTTGCATGCATTTTAAAGAGGTATAAATGACTTTCGATAAAAAAAATGGATTGGTTTTTATGTTGCAAACGTAACAAGGAGCCACATAAATATTATTTTGGGCATACTGGTTTCATGATCCGTTTATAACATAAGGAATTCGTATTCATGATCCATACGAGAAGTAGAAAAGAAAAAAATTTAAAGATAGACAGCTTAGAATCTATAACATATTTATTATGCTAACCAGAGCATGATGCGTAAAGATTACATCCATCGATTGAGTGACAAGCACCGTCGAAAGGGTGAGTATCCTGTAAAAGATTCTGAACATACTTTTCTATAATTCTTTCTTAAAAAGTTAGATTATAAAGTTAATATACATAAACTTCTCGCATGTTTACAAAACGTTCTGAAAACAGGCGTAATTCATTCACAAACAGCGGCATCAATTTACTTTATTCTGGCTGTTTGGATTGGTTGATTTCGTCTAAATATGAAGTTTTTGTGATTTTGAATGTAAAGTTTCAATATTAGCAAATGTTTGCCCAACTTTTAATTTAATTAGATATATCACTTATGTCGGCCGATATGTTTCCCACAAGATCGATATCAAACCAAGAAGACATAAAAATTGAAAACTTATTTCGAAACCTTATGAAGTAATTTTCAAATTCAAACTGAAATCTACAGTAAAAATAATCCATTTACTTCCTCGTGTCGCATTTTGTTGAGCTAACGTGTTATGTTCAATTTCGCAAAGGAACTAAAAGTTCACCCTTAAATGATATTTTTCTGTTCCGAGATTGTCTTTTCGAATATGAAATAAATGATAAACGTTTAAAATTTTATTACAGGTTAGAGGAAGAATTAAAATTCCACTTTCCAAAAAAGTTTTGTGAATTAACTGAATATGTTTGAATATGTTTCTTACAAATATCAGTTTCATCGAATTCGCATTAATTTTAAATCGAATGTAATTTCATAGTTACAAAATATTAATGTTTACTTCCAGTTAGATCAAGCCGAGAAAATCGAAGATACATGGGATGATACTTTATTAATCAAAGCATACGACCATTCTGTTAAATTAGCTAGAGAAGAATTAGCAAGGCGCATAGCATTGTCTACAAGTAAATTTTCAATCAATCAAGATGACGCTAGCAAATCGACCTCAGAAATTGAAGAAATGATGTACAACATTTCTGAAATAAAATATAAAGTTGGAGATTATGTACGTGCGACATATGACGATGGTAAGGACTATGAAGCAAAAATATTATCAATTAATTCGAAAGATGGGACTTGCATTCTTAAGTACATTGGCTATGATAATCAACAAGAAGTAGATATATGTGATCTCGTTCCATCATGGGGCAAAAAAGTTCGCCGACTCCAATTCTCAAAATCTAAGATTGATGAATCATCGGATTATTTCCTGAAGAGTAGTTCAGTGGGAAAAAATTTGAAAAAAGAGAGTAACAAGAAAAATACAATCACTGTACCTCCCCCACCCCCAATTCCTCCAATGATAACTTCCAGTAAGAAAAGCGAAGATTCCGAACATTTATCAGCAATGCTAATGTCATGGTATATGAGCGGGTATTATACAGGGGTATATCAGGGTATGCAAATGATGAAAAATTCTTCAAAAACAAAAAAATAATATTTACATGGAAGTTTGAAAAATATTAAAATAAAAATTTATACTCCTAATAATTGTTAAACGGAATATCTCAACAGGGAGTGCCAAAAAGTGTGTCGAATTTAATTTTTAAGCATCGGAATAATTATTGAAGTATAACGACACAAAATTTTAAAAAGGATACTGGTAAGAAAACAACAATCATAGCACCTCCGCATTCAAGTCTAAGATTTCTAAAATTTATACTTTGAATATGCATTAAGCAAGCTAACTACAAGTTTTGTTTTCATAACAGTGCGTATACGTCACCACAATAACTATATAGTGCAATTCCGTGTCGAAGCCTTCTGCCAGCATTGACACAAAAGTTTATTATAATTACCCCTTCCCTTAGTGGTCGGTAAGAAAATCCAAAGTTGTTTGTCTACTCCTGCGCACAGAAGAGATTGTATGGATACAAACTTTTGCATAATAAACAGCACATATATGAAAAGAAAGCGATGTATATTGTAGGATAGATTTAGTGTTGTTTCAAAAATGTTAACGGCCGTTTAGCTAAAGGTTAGAATAAAGGAACAACAAGGTCGTGCTTGCATCCCAGCAACTTTTGTATGAAGGAAAGTATAACTAAGTTTTTAAACGGGGTGTAAATTCAGGGGTTACTAGAAAGTATAATTTTAGATAGTTTAAAAATACTTGATCTTCGAATTTCCTGCTACAATTTTATAAATATTATTATATTATTATTATTATTATTTTAATTTTAGACTAATGAATTTAATTCTTAGACTAAAAAAGCACTAGCAACACAGGCTATCGGCTCAAAATATTATAATTTTAAACCAATGGAATAAATTCTTAGACTAAAAAAAAAGACATAGAGCAATAGTAACACGGGCTATCGGCTCTAATTTATAAAAGTACATTAGATATTGAGCCTAGTAGTTTTAATAAAGTAGTATATTGTATTGATATTCGGCTCTGTGTTAAGAGCTTTTTGAGAGCTGATTGTAAAATGTTCATAGGTTTAGTCGCTCGAAATGCAAAACTTTTAGCTAAAGAAGAGTTAAGGCAATCACAGAGAATGTGCTTTATAGTGAGAGTTTGTTCACACTGCTGGGGAGGAAGGGTTCTTTAAGATCCATTGGTGAGTTGCAATTGTATGGCCAAGGCGAATTCTCGAAAAGGTTTGGGTCTTGATTTTCTCAACATTCGTTGGATATAAAGGTGGGGTTAATTGAGGGTTAATGGAAGAGTAGTGTTGACGATAGTATTGTAGATATCCTTCTGTAATTTTCTCTTTAACTTTTTTCCGATGTATCTTTGAAGATCTAACTTTTCCATGACATCATCCATACTTAGAGGTGCAGAAGCAGCATACTTCGCCGCTCGATCAGCCTTCTCATTTCCAAATAAACCGATATGAGTTGGTACCCAAAGCACTCCAATTTTTTTTCCGGGTGTTGTAATGATATTCCTTAATCTGTTGATGGTGCTCCATCTCGAAGCCGAAGGATTTCGTATAGCTCTTAATACAGACAAACTGTCAGTAAAAATGACGGTTTGGAGTCATATATTGCGCCTCTAACTGTCATGTAGCGGAAATTGGAGACAAATTTGCTAATGATTTGGACTCAGGTTTCCCGTTGTGTACGGGTTCCCGGCGAGGACAAGTAATATACCATCGCGTAGAATCGAGATCTATCGAGTCTATAAACGTTGTAATGTCATATATGGCTTTTTTATAGCGAAAGGACTGGTTTGTGAAATTGTTAGCATCAGTTTAAGAAAGAACAACATATTTTTTGTTAACCGGAGAGATGGTACTGATTGGCAACACTGGAAAGTCCAAACTTTTAATTTTTTTTCTCTGCGGGTATTTGTCCGCTAATAGATAAAACCTATTTGAGCTTTTATCTGGCGACCCCGGGGCCATTATGCCGTATTGTTGTGTATTAGTAATTTTGGGAAAAAGACCACTTACTGGAAAAATATTGGGAACTACCATTGGAAAATGTTTTCAATTTTTTTATTTTTGTTTTTTTGTTCCATTTTATTATATATAGAGGCAACAAAAGCCGGTACGGTATCCGCGATAAACAGTTTAGCGAGCTAAGTACGCAAAATTTTATTTGCTTGTAGGAGAGTTGGTTTACGAGCGAGAAATGCCCGTATGACTTAAGGGTGTAGGGAACAAAAAAAAAAAAAACGAAAGAAAACCACCATAGTGATGTTGACGATCTATGTAAGTTCCGAATTTGATTATAGTTTCGTGCTCGCGGTTTGACAAGTTAAAATAATATACTTTGTGCTCTTGAAAACAAATACTTTGTGTTGCGGCTTAAGGAGGTATCTGTTGCTTTAACCTACTACACATTTTTTTTTTACATATTCGGATAGTGGCTAATCTAAGCTGACTATCGCCTACCAATGCCTAAGCTAGTTCAGCTAACCGCTTAATCCTACTTGTCCTTTCCGTTATTCATGGGCAGCCAAACCAGACGCGTCCTATCTGTATGATCCATTAAAATTCTCGGGTTTTTATAGTTGATGTCAACATCGCTGTTTCGTTACAATATGTCTGTGACTATGTTTATACTTAAGTGACTCTATCAATGCTGCATATGTTAGTGAATAAGTCAGTTAAAAGAAAAACGCCGACGGACGAAAAAAGTTAATCAGCGAAATCAGTGTCACACAAACTGCGATTACAAAATTTAATTTTTTTAGTTTGGCATGCGTGTTCTACTCGAGTTTTTATTCTGTGCAAGAAATATTTCAATATTTTTAGTGTATTTCTTAGCTTTTTTGCTTTATTCGTGTTTAATTTTAACAATTGTCTAAAAGAATAAAGTGTGAATTTAACGTACATGAATTTAATAGCCATTTATGTGAAAAACTCATTTTGGTTTAGTGTAATCGACAATTGAGCTCTTAGTAAAAGTATCTCTTTTTGCCCGTTAATCTTTGTTTACAGTTTCTTTAGCTTTCGTTCTGTAGCAGGGAAGTGAGAAATTTGTTTTAATTTGCTGAAAATTTGTGCCGTGGAATTTTGTAGTTTTCCTTTTTCTTTTTTTCCTTCATAAGCTTCTTCTGTTATTTTCAATGGACATGGATTGCTTATTTACACCATGTCGTGCGAAAACAGACCCTGAATCTAAACGATTCATTTCTTGTTGGCTGTGTGATTGTTTTGGACATGCAAAGTATGCTGGTATTATCGGCCGTGCTGCTGATGCAGTCCCTGACCCTTCTAAAGGTTTACGATGGTCATGTTCTGACTGCAGAAAGCGGGACATTAACTTCTGCAAACTCTTCACGGAGACGAGAAATTGTTTTTCAGATTTGAAAATAAATCTCGGCTTCTTGTGGGAGAAATTTGAATAATCAATAGGTTTGATGAGTGTCGTTATATTGCGCAGTCATCTTTCTCTCCAGCTAACAATGTTTCAACTCGTAGCGTAGCGTGTGGTTCGTCACCTCTGAATTCTCCCAAGTCCGTTTCGTCGGTGCAAGTTAGCGATTCCTTAAAGTCTACAAAGAATTTTAGCGTTTCTGCTACGGCTGAGTCGGTCGATAACATAAAAGTTAAAAAAAAGCCGGAAAGTCCTTCTGGCTTGAACTATGCTGAAGTGGCAAGGATATCTCCTCCCATAGACGTCACTCAATCTTCTCAGGCGTCATCGCCTAAAACCAATAATGATAATAGTAAATCGTCCTCTCCTCCTGGCTGTTCTAGTGTGAATGCCGGCCGCCAAGCTAGGCACGTCGCACAAGCTGCTCGTGCCTGGTTACCCTTTCCATATTTTCCCCAACTCATATCTCCCCATCCGTGAACCCTGCTGCTCCTAGTACAGATGACATATGCTTGAAGGCAGTTCCTCCCAGAAAGGCAATATTTGTGTGAAGACTGGCACCTGATACAACTGTTGACAACATAAAAAGTTATCTGGCAGCGAAAGCCTCTCCTGTCAATTTAAAGCGCGTTAGCATCTTCAAATTGGCTTCTTCTCAATCTAGAGCTATCTCATCTTTTAAAATTCTAGTTCCGACGGAAAATATGGATTTGATGTTAAATAAACCATTGTGGACGGTTGGATCCTTAATTAAGGAAGTTATCCCTCGGGATCGACTTCGTAATGCTAATGCAATAGCTCTTTACCCTTCAAAAAACTAAATATTTCTTCAGGCTCATTTTCTCTCATTTATCAAAATGTTAGGGGCCTAAATTCAAAAATTCGTTCTACCTTCCTAAATTCAGTGAGCACGGAGTTTTCCTGTTTGGTCTTCACTGAAACTGGATAAAGCCGCATCTACATTCGTCAGCACTTTTCCAAAATTCGTTTCAAGTTTTTAGGTCGATTGTATCGGAATGGAGGTGGTGTTTTAATTGCCATTTCTGCGGCAGTCCCCTCCTATTCATATGAATTTCCAACTACTCCCGACGTTGAATTTATCGCCATTCGAGTGCAATTTCCTAATAAACACTTATATGTGACCTGCTTCTTTATTCCCCCAAATTCGGATATCTCTGTATATAGGAAACAGGCCGCCGTCATATATGAAGTGGCCAAGCAATCTAAACTTACCGATATAGTCATTGCGTTGAGTGTCTTCAATTTGCCTCAAGTCACTTACAGTCATAGTTCTGGCTGTTTGGTTCCTACCTCAACTTCTGGCACAACCGTTGTGTTCTTTAATGAATTATTTGATCACAATGTAGTGCAATACAATGGTACCCCTAATTGCAATGGTGGATTGCTTGATCTTTGCTTTGCCAATTTTCCTGAGATTTGCGTTAATCGTCGTCTTCCGTTTAGTTTAGCTGAGGATACATATCATTCAGCATTGGGTATTTCCTTTCATTACAAGTATGTTGGTTCGTTGAACTTCTATAACGTTCCAAATTCAAACTTTTCATATAAATTTTATGATTTCCATAAAATCAATGTTTCCATGCTAAAATCATATCTTTCTCATATTGTGCTTGATTTCTCAGTGGGAAGTATTGATAGCTTACTGTCGTCGTTCTACAATATA